GGCGGGCGCGGGGGGGGGGGGGGGGGGGGGGGGGGGGGGGGGGGGGGGATCCAAAATACTTGTACAGGCTCTGCATGCTCACCCACCACCGTTCAGCACGAGAAACAAAAAACAAAAAAAAGAACAAAGCAGCATCCAAAGACTACTATCACTTTGTTTCTGATGTGATATTATTTCATTCGTACAATTCAAACAAATTTATACATACTACAAAATGTGACAAAATTAAATGCTTATTCAATAAAAACTAACTTGAAATTTCAAATGAACTTGTTAAAATTTAATTTGATTAAGCTATTTAAATCAGTTCAAATATCTGGATCTCGATATTAAATGTAAACATAATATTTGTTGGATATAATATTATATTAGTACCGCTATCTCTATGTTGCTAGCGATGTTTTTGAGGTGAGAGAGTTGGTTTTTGCCGCAGCAGTGAAATGTTAATCCCGAACACTCTACCCAAATTTGATAAGATGCTTCAACTATCTATTGTTTTAAACAAACTAAATCAAATTTTTTTATTTTATTTTATTATACACTCTCAATGTATTAAAATTATTCTAACGTGACGTGACGTGACCTTTCTGTTTATTTATTCCGTCAAAACGTATACCACTAAATTTCACAAAATGAATAACGAAAACAAACAAAAATATCATATTATAACACATTTAATATATTGAGAGTATGCTATAAAAAATTTAATCTTTACGGGTATAAAATAGAAATACTTGAATCTCACTTTGTACATTAAAAAATTTAATAATTTTTTTTATTTTTTGCCGAATTTCTCACATTATATCTCAATATATTAAAAATTATGTACCGTGGCCTTTTCATTAACTTTTTAAAAAATTATTTTATTGACTTCGACGAAATAAATAACAAAAATTAACGAAATAACCACGTTATAATATGAAATATATAAAAATAAAAATTATTACCAAATTTTTTAAGGGTACAAAGTGTAATTCCGCCTGGTTATTTTGCTAGGGTTTTTGGCTCCCCGAATCGAATTGCATAGGGACGTTTCTTTAAGCGCGCGGATCTCTGTCCATGTCTTCCTCTCTCNTTGTTTTAAACAAACTAAATCAAATTTTTTTATTTTATTTTATTATACACTCTCAATACATTAAAATTATTCTAACGTGACGTAACGTGACCTTTCTATTTATTTATTCCATCAAAACGTATACCACTAAATTTCACAAAATGAATAACGAAAACAAATAGAAATGTCATATTTGAGACGCACAACTAATTTCTTGATGACAAAAAGTTTGAGGACTACTAGGATTGATCTTAACCCTCAGTTTGGTTGCCTGGAAAATGGAGGGCAATAAAAGAAAAGGGCTTTCCAAACTTCTATTCTCTATATGATCATTTTGGCATTGAGGACTCGATAACTTAACAACGCGGAACAGAATTACGCCACCGTAGTTCTAAACCGAGATTTGAAGAAGTTGTTTTCTGGTAATTCTAAGCAAACAAACAGGTATGAGTAATGAGTATGACCATCCTGTGTTTTGTTCAGAAATTGTTGAATGTTGTTTGATTATTTGAAGGTACTTTCTTTCTTTGGGTATAGAGTTGTGAATAGGAGGCCGGTTTCTGTTTTGTAGGTAACTTGGAGAATGAGACTCGCCAATCGAAGACTGTTCTCTTCTCTAAATACGGGCGGGTCGAGCGTGTGTAATGTTGCCATGAAATCTGGTATATATATTTTGTCTACTTTCTTGATGAGATTTTTGTAAATTATTACTGGTGATCATTGTAATACATTATATACTTTNCTCTTCTCTAAATACGGGCGGGTCGAGCGTGTGTAATGTTGCCATGAAATCTGGTATGTATATTTTGTCTACTTTCTTGATGAGATTTTTGTAAATTATTACTGGTGATCATTGAAATACATTATATACTTGAAAGAAAGCAGACGTGATGAGGGTCATGACTGCCCAATTAAAGAGAGGATAAAAATGGAGTGGAAAGACGATGCCCAAGTATCAAACGGCTTAGGATCCTACCTTTGTATGACATGGGCAGATGATTTTGAGCAGTTGATGGCGACACCTAAGAGATCCAACTTATGCCCTCCTTTACTATATACTAATATTCACCTAGAATATACTAAAGAGACAAACTTACACTCTCCTTTAAATATATATATGTATGTATGNTCCAACTTATGCCCTCCTTTACTATATACTAATATTCACCTAGAATATACTAAAGAGGCAAACTTACACTCTCCTTTAAATATATATATGTATGTACATATAGATTTCCATTATAGTTAGTGGTCTGATATTGTTTGTTTATGGGGTGAACTCATTGATTTTATGTCCTTTTTGTGAGTGTTTGGTGACTCATTTATTGATGATATACTAATTTTCTTAATGATATTTAAACAATGATCTTGCAAGGGTCCTGTATATTTTTTTTTCCTTTTCTCTATACTAGTAATTCTTTAAGCCTCAAATTTTGATGGCTCGTCTCAGTGATGAGTGTACCGGTTTTGTTTGTTGCTTACACCTTTTTTGTTTTGATTGAACTCTTATAGATTAAAATTTAAGATTTTTGAGCTGTGTTTGCTGTATCTGTTCTGTAAGAAACCGTTACTTTCCTTTTTACTTATCCGGCACCTTGTTTTCTGAATTGTTATTGTCCATCCTATCCATGTTGGTTAGTCAGGGGTGCTTTCTGAGTCTTCTGACTTTGGTCCCTCCTAATGATGCCATGCAGCCAGCTATAGCTTTCACTGTGAATAGGTATATGAACCAGTGATTCACTGCAATGGATATACGGATGCATATGTGGTGTATATATACATTTTATGTAATTATGATGAGAGTTGGAATGGCAGCCAAAATTATAAAATCTCTTTGGGGGTAGACCTCCATGTTTAAGTTTTGTTTTGACACAGGAACATGTATTGAGGGAATTTGAGCTTCTATATCGGCTCACTCACTTCTGCTCAACAAACATCTAATGCTAAGGGAACTTGTTTGCCTGCCTTCTCTACTTACAGATGGAATCATCCTGCATTTCATCCACTTGATCTTCTGTAACCTACTGGCCTCAATGCCAAAAGTTGCCATTTTACAGGAATGGTCATGGTGGGATCTGTCAATTCATCATGCCATACCTACCACCACTGATTTTAAGGGGATCAATGAATTCTATCATGCCATTACTGAACTCCTGCTGTGAAAATGTTGAAGCATGCCTAGCCTAGCAATGACAATCAGACCTGAGACTTCAGATTTAAACCTTTAATTTGCCATTATCATGATTTAGTTCATCATGCAGGGCCACTACTTCCTATGCTCATCAACCCTTCACTTATATGCAGATGTTGTATATTTATTTTGTTATGTCAGGGAAAAGAATCCTCATTTTGCTAATAGATTACTTGCTGAGCAGGTCAAATTCCAATCTCATTTGTTATTTCTGTTCTTAATTGTGTTTTATCACTGCAGGGTTTGCTTTTGTTTATTTCGAGGATGAGCGGGATGTGAAAGATGTCATACTTGGACTTCATAACACACCATTTAGATATGAAAGATGGAGGTTGTCGGTAAAATGGGCTAGGGTACGTTGTTTCCTATTTGTTTCATGACTCGTCAGTCCTCATTCATTTCCAGAGTGCCGCTAAGAGACTGTTAGCAAGCGCTCAGCATCCATTAGTTTTATCTTGAATGGAAGTACTATCACTACCTCACTTCTGGCAGGGTGAACGTGGCAAGCATTGTGACGACTCTAGGTTGAGGGGAAGTCAGTGACCAACAAAAACCTTGTTGGTGATAAACTTTGATCCCATTTGCACAAGGGCCCAAGATATAGAAAGACACTTTGAGCCCTATGAGAAGGTTCATATCAGAATTCATCCATACTTTGCATTTGTGCAGTTTGAAACACAGGAAGATGCCACGGGTTCTGGAGTGCACACACTTGAGGTGAAGCATACAGTTTATGTTGTGCTGTTGAAATTTCTGTATATGGCCTGGTAAATTGTTGGATGGTCTAATTATGCAGCAAGGTGCTGGACAGGGCGGTGTCTGTTGAGTATGCTTTGAGGGATGATGATGAGAGGGGAGATGGATATGATAGCCCTTGAAGTGACTACAGTAGCCATGGGGATAGTCCTTATAGGGGTCACCAAGTCCAGTTTATTGCAGCAGCCGACCAAGTCCTGATTATGGGCATGTTTGCAGTCCAGTTTATGGTAAGCACAATGGTCCATCAGGTGAAAGACGTGGGAGTCCTGAATATGGCAGATATCGCAGGTATATGTTTGCTTTCTAGATTATGTTTTGTTATGATTGTCGTTCTTCTTCTTCATGTACTCAGATTCAATTTGCTTGTCATTTATTGTTTGACATATTCTTTTTCCCCCATCTTTCCCCTTATCTCCTTTGTCTGAGTATTGGTGTCACCTGTTTGAAGGTCTAGAACATGAGATAGTTAGTATAGGGTTGAAACAGATGGTGCTCAAGTTAACGTGACATATGGAGGTCTGCCGTTGCTTTAGGTACATCAGGCGGAGTAAGAAGCTTGTTGAACTTTGTTTACCAGGTTTGATTTGTCTGTATTGTAGTTTATGGATTTGTAGCGGTACAGGTTATTGTTATTGCTTCACCTGTTTGAATCATTCAAAGTGGCTGTACTGTTTTCTGAGAGAAACTTTAATCAATTTTCAGCCTCTATCAAGAATATAATTGTATACAATGGACACATATAATTGTGAATCATAATTGCTTTCGATTTTATTAATATCTTATTTTATTGGTTTCTATTATCATGATGGGTTGTCAATTTTATTTCTCTTTGTTTATTATTTTGTAAGTATCAACTACCTCTAACCTTTTCTCCCTGTCTTTTTCAGCATAGGTGCAGCAGCAGGAGCTTGGTATGAATATGTTGACAAGCATCTATATGGGTCTTTTTTTTAGCTGATTTGGGTTGTATATATAATCCCTCTCCCGATGGCGTCGGTGTTTTATTTGACTTTATGTCTTGGCATCGCCTACACCAGAAAATTCCGGCGATTGTATGGTGAACATGGGGGTTTCAATATCCCCACTTTAAAATTGAGACAAAAATTAGTTTAGGGACCCATTTGAAACTGAGACTGTCAGACCAAAGCTCAAGGGCAATAGTCAGCTGGTTTGTGAAATGGGTTTCAACAGTCATGTTGGCTGGGATATCAATGATTTCTGTTCCTCTGTTAGATCTCGTTACATTTTCCCAACTATTTAATATAGAACTAAAGTAGGAACAAAATATTGATTATTGGTATGATGATTACATTACCAAGATCAGCTAATAAGAAGAGGATTGTCCCAGCTCTCGATCAAGTGCCTTGTCAAGCCATGTTTCTGCATCTTGCATCATTCCAGGGCTTAGTCTAACCATGAGGATGCAAAACTCGGTCTCATTGAGTGCCCCATCTCCATCAAGGTCCCCTGCGCGCAACATCGCCTCTGAATCTTCTTTGCTCATCCCTTCTATACCCAGAAGTGCAGAATTCTTCCTCAGACTCTCCGATGTAATCAACCCCCTTCCGGGGTCTGCCAGAAGCCGGAATCCCGCGCAGAGTTCGGACACGAAGGTATCCACATCTAGCTTCTCCGCCATAACGGGCATCAAATCTTCATAATGGCTTCCCATGGATTTATCTGCCATTCTGTTTTTTTTTTTTTTGGTATCCAGAAAGAAACTGTGAGAGTTTCAATCAAATGCACCCGAAGCTGTTTGACAAGGATGGTGTTAGGACCTGGGGAGGTCTTTATAGGAATGGGGAATCCTGTTTCATTGCTTTGCAATGGGACTGATTGGTGTTTAATTGGAGTAGTGAGTGAGTGCTATCTGATCTTAGATGGTGCTATCTGAGTGGATGGATGATTAACGGGGGACTAGACACGTACGATGTATGATAGACTCTGGATTCCCAAAATATGGGTGTATTTGTCACGGTAAATGATTTCATAGACATTTTATTCTCATTTGATGGGTTTCCAGGAAGGTGCGTTTGGAGGAGGTGGGGGATATTGGACCTTAGTGGTTATACGTTAGTGTCATGACACATCCAGTCATGCGGAATTTGCTTAATTTCTGAGGAGTTCGTCTTTCTACGAAGCTTCCTTTGCCATCCAAACAAACAAAAACAAAATACAACCAAACCAACCTCTCTCTCTCTTTCTCTCTCTCCATAAATTTGTTGTGGTGGATTTTTTTTTTTTTTTTTGGCTGTGTCTATGTTTCATGCCGTCTGGTTATTTGTTGAATACTTAACAAACAGTGAATAAGGGAATGGCTTAATCTGCCTGACTTCTGTGTTGGTTTTTCATGCAAACACCTGTCGCTGTTTATGTCTTTGCATACTATTAATTTGCCCATAATCAGTTTGCTTTGTATTTAGTTATTATGTGAGTTTAGAGATCCAACTGAGACCGAATAACACTCGAATTACACTTGAATTTTTTTCTTGATGATCGTACTGAGATTCAACACTCAGTCTCAACTAATGCACATAATTGTTTACAGAAGCACATAATAAATAGAATATGAACAAGCACACAAACTCATACTAGGCACACGAATATTACAAGCTAAATGGCCAAATCTTTTAATTATCAACAAGTCTAAAGGAAATTGGGTAAGGGTCTGTTTACAAAATGTGTTCAAACTCTCTTGGGTGCACTGCAGATCCTAACATGCCTATAAATAGCATAAAATGTGGCGATTATAAGTCCAACCATCTAGGTAATGCAAACGCTCATTAGATTCACCCCCAAGGCCTATTGATCATGGCTTAATCTTTTTGCCACTCTCATAATGTGTTGATTATGGCAGGGACAGTTGTAACTATTAGTTGACCCAGTCAGCAACTGCCTATAACTGCTTTGTATGTTGTGTCCACATGCCATCAACTTTCCTCATGATGTGCACATGTCAGCATTCTACATAGAATTGCTCTGCATGCAATGCATATTCCAACAACTATTTAGAATTGTCACTACCTGTAGTGTACATGCTTCAACTGCTCAAAACCATCTCACATGATGTGCACATATCTTCTTTGCGAGCTCAAAACACCTGTTTTGCCTTGCCTCTGTGTCAAGTCATGCTTAACTCATGGCTTAGTCTTTCAAGCTAGCAATGCACCGTAATTCAAGCACATCGGCTAGTCTTGCTTACTTGCTTGCTTGTGCCCAATGTGTCTATGCATGAGCTATCTTCCTTAGCCATGCATGGTGTTTCAATCAACCCATTGGTCGTATCCATGCATGAGCTATCTTCCTCAGTCGTGCATGTGCCTTCAATCATCCCACTGGTCGTGCCCATGCATGAGTTGCATTCCTCAGCCATGCATGTGGCTTCAATCAATCCACTGGTCGTGCTTAGCATGCCCACACATGCATTGTCTTCCTTAGCCATACATGGCNTCAATCAACCCATTGGTCGTATCCATGCATGAGCTATCTTCCTCAGTCGTGCATGTGGCTTCAATCATCCCACTGGTCGTGCCCATGCATGAGTTGCATTCCTCAGCCATGCATGTGGCTTCAATCAATCCACTGTTCGTGCTTAGCATGCCCACACATGCATTGTCTTCCTTAGCCATACATGGTGTTTCTACCTACGATGGGTCCAACCGTTCATCGACCCCACATCTTGGGTCTCGAACTTTAGAATATTTTGCCTACACCCATGACAAGAATTTGTTGGGGCATGGCTTGCTTTGGTGTGCCAAGTCTTAGGAGCATAGGGGTCCCTAGGGAGGCTAACCTGACACCCCCTTCGCAGAACACCCCCTTATAATAACATTAGTGAGTAAATCTCTATTGGCAGCAACAAACATACACTGAGCCGATGAGTCATAATAACTTGAGCCAGGGGCATAATCGTTATATGCCACTTGAGCCTTTTGTCAAACTGCTCTATAACCCAACCAAATACACGTTCAAGTCCTTAGAAGGCCAACTTTGTACTAAGGGTTTGCTTCACCAAGTATAACCCAATTTAGCTAAGACATGGGCACCTTTGGGCGAGACAATCACATGTCAATCCCAAGCCAATGAGCTAAAGGGGTAACAAACCACCCCACCAAAAGTGATTGACGTCCTCGTCAAGAGATTGTCTCGATACTCCTTCATCTGATTAGGATCAACATTCTTCTTCCTTCGACGGGCAGCTTTGACCAAGTTGTCCTTTGTCTTTACAAGCAACCCTTGCTTGGAATGAGAAAATTAGTATACAGTAGGGCATCTGGTCATCTGTCTCACCACTCCATAAATGAGCAACTGATGTTGTCCCACAGGCGACATCTAATAAGGGACACGAGTTGGAAGCTTTGCACCATGCTCCAGCTCATATTTGTAGTCAATTCCACGTCTAGATTCAAAGGTCTTAGGGAGTTTTGGAGGCATATCCTCAACAAATTCCAGCTCAGTTTTCGCTTGTCATCCTTTTTGCTTTGGTCTGCCACCACTGCAGGCACAAAGCATGTTGCTCCCTCATTCAAGATTCACATCTCATTTAAATGTAGCATCACCACCACCTTGGCCTTTATGAAAAACTTATGCCCGAGGATAATATCAAAGTCTTCCAAGAGTATAGCTGTCAAGCTCAGCTGACATTCCTATAAACCCACTTTCAAGCATGTCTCTTCAATGCCACGCATTGGCATTGCTTTAGAATTGACAGCTTTGAGCTTGCTAGAGTTCTATGTCAACTACGGGCCAAAAGATTAGTGGTTGGTATTATTGGTTTTAAATGATTTCTTGTATTACAGGCGTAAGTATTACCACGTGTCAAGTTATAATTCCATATCTAGAATACCAAATAGCTAAAAATTAAAATTCAAAAATCTAGAAATGTTAATGTTTTATTGATGTTTATGACTTTCTTATATATGATGTATTGATATTTATGGCTTTTTTATTGTGTTTTATTGTAATTATTTATTTATTATTGAATTTACTGTGTTTTCTTTAATGATATTAGTTTATTATGTTAGTTAATTGGTGCAAGTTACTTCATTAAATTATTAAAATGATTAAAAATTAATAAATAAAAAATATGTGTTCACCCGACTTCTTACCCGATTGTTTTGGACGGAATTTGAGTAGGAATAGTATACTTGATCAGATAGAGTAGGTCAAGAAAAAATTCTTCCGCAAAATATCGGGTAGAAAGATGAAATATCATAAATCGTACTTATAAGGTAGGGTGAACACCTCTACCGTTCACCCAAGCTTGCACAAACATAAGACCTTTACGAGGTTACTGAACATTTCCCATAGTAATTTCGTTTAGCAATTTACAGAGGATTAACCTAATTGGATATGCATCGTCACTATCATCTCCAATTTCAGCTACAAATGGCACTTAACTTCTCCTGTTTGGGGCAGTCTTTAGCACGATGAGAGCCACTGCAAAGAAAGTAACCAGAATCGAAGTTTTTCTTCTTCTAGTTGTTGTCTGGAATTTTAGAATCACCTCCATTCATCTTTTTCTTCCAATCTGTCTCATCTACGTCTTTGGAAGTGCCAATCTTGTCTTTTTTGTCGCTATTATCCCTCTTTTTCTTTTCAAAAGGGCCTTGACTGTTGTCCATTTTGAGGTCAACTAGGTCATCCGCAGCAGCCATGGCAGTGTGCAAATCGCGCACCCCTTACCTACGCAACTCAACCTGTGCCTAGCCTTGCAAACCAGATATGAAATTAAAGAGCTTGTCCTCCTAGGACATATTCTTGATATTTAGCATCAAAGACTAAACTTTGTCTCATAGTTACGAATGGTTTCCGTGTGCTTTAATTTCTTAAGCGACTCCCTAGCAATTCACATCGTGTTGCTAAGAAGGAATTAATCCTTTAACTCTTTCTTTAACATATCCCACGTCTCGATTTTGACTCACCTCGCAAAGTTACATGCTGGTTATGGTCATTTTCTGTCTCGCAGGCACATGGGCAATTTTGAAGTACTGCTTCATGTCCCATAGAAAGTTCTCAAGTTCTTTGGCACTCCAGGTACCTCCTAAAGCTTTAGGTTCAAGGACCTTGATCTTTGCAAATGTCTCGCCCATAACAAGTCAAGAATGCATAGCCCTTTTCACTAGAGTTAGTTCGTCTTCAAGATCCTTGAAATTGGTCTTTCACAGCATCAGTGAAGGACAAAAATGTCCTCCATCATTTTTGCAATCTTAAAGTCAATTTCTATCACATAATTGTTGAGGGCCATTCTTAAGCCTGCAATCTGAACAGTATGTTGCTCCATTTGCATAGACACACTGGTTGTAGCATCACCAGCACAAGCGCCCAGAGAATCCTCTAACAGGTCACACATTCACATAATTCAGCAGCGTTTCCATCAGCCATGATCGAAAATTGTAACTCTTATACCAATTGTCACGGGGTCAAATTACACTTGAATTTTTTGCCTCACGATGGCACTGAGATCCAACACTCAGTCTCAATCAATGCACACAATTGCTCACATAAGCACACAATAAACGAAAACTGTAGTCTTGCTTGCTTGTACCCAACATGCCCATGCATGAGTTGTCTTCCTCACTCATGCATGGGACTTCAATCACTCCATTGGTCGTTCCCAACATGCCCATGCATGCGCTGCCTTCCTTAGTCATGCATGAGGCTTTTGCCAACGACATGTCCCACTAATCATCGGTCTCACATCTCAGATCTCAAACTTTGAAATGCCTTACCTACACCCATGACAAGTATTTGTTGAAGTCATGTCGTGCTTTAGCGTGCGAAGGCTTAGGGGCATAGAGGTCTTTAGGGAGGCTGGCCTTGTGGAGCATCCCCTTCCCCCCTTATAATAGTATTAGTGAGAAAATTCCAATTGACAGGAAAAAACATATTCTGAGCCGATAAGTTATAATAACTTGAGCCAGAAGCATAATTGTTATATATCATTTGAGTCTTTGCCGAACTACTTTATAACCCAGCCATATACATGTCCAAGTACTTAGAAAGTCAACTTTGCACTAAGGGTTTACTTTACTAAGCACAACCCAATTGGACTAAGACATAGATACCTTTGAACGAAACAGTCACATGTGAATACCGAACCAACGAGCTAAAAGGGATAACATATAGCTAGGTCATACACAAACCACCGGAATATTAAAAAGGTGATGTTTGTTCTGAGTGTGGGTGAGGTGGAGTGAACCTCAAAAATAATAATTAGTACGAGGTCTGGAAACCGAATTAGCAATCAGATCAAGTGTTCTCTGTTAGAGTGCAATAAAGTGGGAGTAACAAGAGATCAAGTAGAGAAGTCCACTAATTCTCATGCTACTTTATGTGCAAAACAGTACGGAGGTCAATATGATCGATCCCCTGTGCTTGAATATTCAGCTGGTCGTACCGTACCCATTGCAGTTTCAAGAACCTGAAATATGATCGGTAGTTGAGGCATGGCATTAGCAAAAATTAAGAAATAAAGGAGCAGATGAGGTGCAACATGAGCAAAACTGAAGAATTATCTGCACTCCAACGTATTCTTCTGCCCTCAAATAAAGAATGGAGTCCGAATAGATCATTGAAGAGATCCTTACTTCTGCAGAAGCAAGCCGCATCCAATACACATTCAAATAATATATGAATACGATAGAAATTCAAGTGATAAATTAAAATCTATATGGAAATTTGGAACAGCATAGAAAAAATTTGGGACCTAAAAATGAAATGTTCAACAGCTCTTATTTAATGAACAACCAGCTTCTTTTTCGTCATCCATCTCTTCCTAGTGGCCTCCATGGCTTCTTCCCTCATTCTTGAGAGTTCTTGAAACCATTGTTGATACTGTGCTTCAATAGCATTGAGCTCCAATTTTAGGTCCATGTACTGATCTTTCTCTGATAAGGACAAAGATGAACAGCTGCTTGTCAAGCTCATAACTTTAGATGCTCCTTTCAAATTTGCAGGAGGAAATTCTGAGTTCTTTGCAAATTTGTTCACTGATATGCATTCTACACCACCGCTATTATCTCCCTGCATTTTGTACTCCTCATAACAGAAATCATTGAACTCCACCTCAGAGATATGTCCACTAGAACCTTTTGATACTCCATCAGTACCATGTTCAACACATCCAGCCATTGTCTCATTCCTCGTAGAAGCATCTTCACCCATTAATTCAGAAGCAACTGATGATTGTGACTCTTTATCTTCTGAGTTTGCCAAACTTGGAGGAGTATTCAATGCACCATGAGGAGAGACACAATCAGAATTCACAAACAAGTAACTTTCATCAGATTGCAGACAAACTTCTCCAGGACATGGATTAAATTCACAGAGATCTTGCTCAACCAATGACTTGGTAGGACCACTGTTTAGGACTATATCCCACTGATTCGCCATTGAGGATAAGTCATTTGCAGGAGGCCCTTCATATGTACTTATCCCTCCACTGGAGTGATAATCAGATGAAGGTTTCCAACCAGGGAGAATCCTCTTTATTAAGTAATCAATAAACTCAGCAATAAAAGCTACGTCATGATCTGCCAACTCCAGCTGTTCAACCATCTCACCAGCAACCAACAGTGCTGTGTCAGTATCAAGGTAGAAGAGGAAGTGTATATTCCTTACTCGGCCTGCAAGTCACAAAGAATGATCACAAACTACAACTCTGGAAAACATAGCAGAAAAATTTACTGCTTGCTGACTTACCAGAAGGGTCAGCAATGCGCAAGGTCAGTGATATTGAGTTGTCATCATTTTTTCTCCCCCTCAACCTAAATTCATTATTATGATGCATCCTCTGAAATTCCAGAGCTGGAGAATTCGGGCTTCCGCATATGGAATCTGTGCAGACGGAGTGGTTGTACTCAGGATCTATATCCATGGAAAGAGGCCCACTGTTCAACAAACTTAATGATCTAGGAAGTTGTTTAGGTAACTGAAGGGAATCGCGAATGGGCTCCTTCAAATTGTCAGATTGAAGAAATGGATCTTTAAGAAGGTCCTTGGCAGCTAATCTTTCAGATGCTGGAACCAGACATTTCTCAATGAATTCCTTGACTTTGGGATCGCTCACCTTGCCAAGGGAAGCAGGTTTAACGCCCTGAAATGCGAGACATTTTATGTGATTATTCTGAGTTTCACCGATGTAACAGCTAATGGATGATAGCATGACAAGCCGAGGATTGGTAAACTTACAGAGGTAACTTTCTTATAAATTTGAGCAGGATTCTTGCACTCACTATAAGGATACTCCAACGTAACCATTTCCAGCATGCACATCCCAAAGGAATATATATCAACTAGTTCATTGTATTCCTCTTCATAAAGCTCCGGAGCCATGAATTCGGGGGTCCCTATTATGGACAGGCATATAGTCAGTACTTTCAAATTCTAAAAAAGTGCTTTGGTTTTTCAGAATACATAGATTCATGGTATTCACTCCCACCAATAACACTCTTAGCAGTAGGCTGCTGCATAACAGTTGCCAATCCAAGGTCTCCAATTTTAACTTGTCCATGATTTCCATTGACAAAAATATTGTCACATTTCAAGTCCCTGTGAACAACAGGTGGGTTTTGACTATGAAGATAGTCTAGACCTCGGAGAATCTGTCTTGCCCAGTTCTTTATTGCCTTCATATCAACACTTCTATGCTTCTTGCGATATCTAATGATAAAGATATAAACAATTAGTTCTAGATCCCACAATGACCAAACAAACAAATGTGCAACAATAAGTAGAACTCACTGCCTCAGACTCCCAGATGTGAAGAGCTCAGTGATCATGTTAACAGTCTTCTTCTTATCATCAATCCATGAATCATGGAACTTGATGATATTTTCATGTTTCATCTGTCTAAGAAGATGAACTTCAGAATACAATTTTTCCAAATCTTCTGGTGACCGCAACACATCATCAATCTTCACCCGGTTCCAGGCAACTTCAACCCCATCAAGTTGGTCAAATGCCTTGTAGCTACAAATAAGTATATAAGAAAACAAAGAGGAATCATTCACAGAGCGGAAAACTCTTCTTTCGACACAGAATTAATAGTTTGACTGTACCTCCTGGCCTCCCACTATAAGTTAAAATGACAAATATAATGAAAGATTAAGTTTGGAACCATACACAGTCTTGAATGCACCCTTGCCCAAGACTTCACTGTACTGCAGAAGATGAAAAAAAGAGAGAGAGAGAGAGATGAATCAAAAAGAAATAACAATAAAAATTGAGAATGATAATTCTCATGGTAAACGTATAATAGCAGAATCAAACCAAACCCGATGTTTCCAATAGTTGATTGCTTGTTTACCTAGAAGACTCGAAAAAAGAAATGTAAACTATCATTTTGGTAGCAGCCAAAACAAAAGAACAGCCAAATTTCAGCCTGACAACCCATTACACAATATTGTAAAATTTTCTAAACCAACAAACAATGCAGTATCGATTTCATGTAAAAATCTATGCCATAAATCAATGACGAAGAAGCAAATAATTGCTACCATGTAATTCGTTTTTTTCAGATTGAAAGTGGAAAAAGAGAACATTCAGCCACAATTAATTACATCATGGGCATGAGCTGGTAGCTCAATTCGATGATGTTGGAGTCATAAATATCTGACTATAGCTGCAGCTTCAATACAACCCTGACAGGTTCTTGGATCACAAATTCATGAACTAAACAATTCAATAAATGACGTTGAATCAATACGACATTGCAAAAATTTCGGGCGTGAACTGCAATGGAATTACCCGAAAGTAGCGGGCTCCGGGGTCCTTCTCGACATAGTCGGCCTCGGGGTCAGGAGGCTCAGCACTACCAGCAAGCAAACCGTCTTTGATATTATTTACAGGAAACACAAAACCATTTCCATTACCAGAATGAGGCAATGCTAACCCAGCACCGTAATTCATTCTGGTGAATAAACGAACAGAAGAAGATACGAGGAGGAGGAAGAGGAGATATGGAAAGTAAAAAGAATCAGTCCAAAACTGGATCAAAGAAGTTTTCCGATTAAGGAATGTTCGGAAAAGGCCTCTGCAGCAATGGCATAGGAATCGAATGCCGATCGCGTATGGTATCGGGATCGACATCCGAAATTAACAACATCGAGATCCAATGAACTCGATGATATTGAGAATGAGGAATTGAAGGAAATCGAGAACTGTTTCATGACCATAACCCCACTTTCCATCTCCTTCTTTCAAACCAATCCCAACACCACCGCCCTAAAAACCATAATTCCTTTCTTTGTAATCTTTTTGGCCCTTTTTAAACAAACCCACCAAAAGAAAGATCAAAAAACAAAAAAATAAATGTCTGGGACTAAGGATTTGGGTTTGATTAGGAATGGAGGTTGTGGTGAATGGGTGATAAAAAAAAAAGGAAAGAAAGAAAAAGGAAATGGGGGCAGATTGAGGGATCAAAATGGGGGTTGAGCTAATAAGAAAAGGAGAGAGAAAAATTGAACATGGGATGGAGGAAAAGGGGAAGAAAAGGAATGAAGATAGCGATGAGGATTGATAGATGGGAGAGGGAAAAGTGCTGTGGAGGTGTGTGTGTGGGGGGGTTAATGCGGAAGAGAAGGTTTCAACAAACACTTGTTTGGTTGAATAAATTCAAAGTGTTTTACAACTATTAAAATCAATACTTCTGTGCTGTTATATTTATTTATAGCATTTAAGTTTACAAAATAATTAGTTTTTTAGCTAAAAGCATTTTCCGTTGCCGGGAATCGAACCCGGGTCCCCTGGGTGAAAGCCAGATATCCTAACCGCTGGACGACAACGGATTGTTGCTGAATGTTTATATAAAAAATAATATAATAATAAGACCATTTTTGTTGTTTGCTCCATCACTGTTCAACTTCAGAAACTATGTTGATCGAGAAACTTGGGTTTGTTTTTTTTTTTAATAAACTTTCATTAAAAAAACACAGAAAACCTGTCCTTTTATAGTACATATTC